TTTGACTACCATGGCCACATGTGTATCTCCTTTGAGCTTCTGGGCCTTAGCACCTTCGATTTCCTCAAAGACAACAACTACCTGCCCTACCCCATCCACCAAGTGCGCCACATGGCCTTCCAGCTGTGCCAGGCCGTCAAGTGTGAGTGGTGTGGGCCGAGGTGAACTCTGGGGCAGCCCCTCCCTCCATCGGACCTCTTCTGTCCCAAGTTGTGGATTGGTCAGGCCCCTAAATGATCAACTCAGGATAACTCATCTTCGCAGCTCCTCTTTTGACTTTGACTTTATTTCTCTAGTCTGTGGCCATACCACCCCGAATGCTCAAGATCTCATCATTTGGCTCGGCTCCTTAATGGAGGCCTTCACAATCACTGACTGCTCTTACTCCACGCTCAGCCTAGAGGGAACTGGGAGACAGCCTTTGAAATCAAAGGACTAGACTTTTCCCCTCCTCTTCCTTACGTTGGGAAAGTGTTAGACAGCAAACACAGTGAGACAGGAAAATACTCCATTGGCTAAGGCTACATGTGTCTGAGATGAGATGCTCTGTTCAAAGCAGATGGTAGCACGGGGCAGTGCAGCTACGGGGCCAGGGGTGAAATCACACAAGTTCACAGTTCCTCTGAGGCTTCCCAGCTCAGTTGGTTTTCTTTTTTTGGCGGTACCAGGGATCCAACTCAGGACCTTGCACTTGCGAGGCAGGCACAGCACCACTGAGCTAAATCCCCGGCCCTATCAGCTCAGTTTGACAGAACTGAGTCTGCAGAATGTCAGATACACACGTCAGAGACAGTGTAAGGTACCGCATGTGGCACTTTTTTGTATCAGTTGAGATACATACGTATCTTACATTAGTTAAGGACAGGACTTAGACCAGGCATTTCATTTAGCTGTAGAGCAGAAAGCAGCCCTAGTGATTCAGAACCTAATGCTCACCAGCTTACACTGGGTGCTTAGCTGGGGGTGAGCTATGCCAGTGAGCTCTGGCCACCTGGACCAAGCCTGACCTGGGCTTCTCCCCTGCAGTCCTTCATGATAACAAGTTGACACATACGGACCTCAAGCCTGAAAATATTCTGTTTGTGAATTCAGACTATGAGCTCACCTACAACCTGGAGAAGGTAAGATGGACAGATTTGCCCCTTGGCCATGCTGGGCCATTTGCTTTTTCTCTTTCTGTTCTCCATTATGCCGCTTCAGCATTTTTTTCTGTCTGGGTACCACCAGAGTACTAGAATAGGCTGGAAGGGGAAAACTTAAAAAGATTTAAATTGGAAGAGGACTTGAAAAAGGATTTCCAATGGAGTGAAAAAGGCCCTCTCTTTTTTTTTTTTTTTGGTACCGGGGATTGAACTGGATTGAACTCGGGTCCTTGTGCTTGCACAACAGGCAGCAAAACCACTGAGCTAAATCCCCGGCCCAGCCCTCTCTTTTTTTTGAGACAGAGTCTTGCTATGTAGCTCAGGCTAGCCTTGAATTCACTATGTAGCCCAGGCTGGCCTTGAAATCAAAATCGATCCTCCTGTCTCAGCCTCCCTAGTGCTGGGATTACAGGCATGTACCCCCACGCCTGGCTAAGAGATGTATTTCTTGTTTGTTTGTTTGTTTTTGGTACTGAGGATCAAACTGAGACCTTGTGCTTGCAAGGCAGGTGGTGGAACCACTGAGCTAAATCCCGGCCCTAAGACATGTATTTCTATGAGGTAGGAAAGCCTAACTCCCAAGACTTTCTGGAGATAATGGAGATCTCAGAGCTAAAAATGCTTTCCAGCTGTAGCTCTTATCCTTTACTACATGTTACATATTTTCAGATAAATAGTATACCAATCACTTAGGTATAGTCTTCCTATGTTTATAGGTTTGCACACTGTTCCATAATCATGGTTCTCTTCCATGCCCACTGTTAAAAATACTGTTATAGACCGGGGATTTAGCTCAGTGGTTCCGGCACCTTCCTTGAAAGCGCAAGGTCCTGAGTTTGATTCCCAGTACCAAAAAAAAAGAAAAAGAAAAATACTATTGTAGGCCAGGGATTTAGCTCAGTGGTTCTGCTGCCTGCCTCGCAAGCCCAAGGTCCTGATTTCAATCCCTGATACCAAAAAAAAAAAATACTGTTGTAAGCCAGGGATTTTCCAGAGTGTGTGAGAGGGACCAAGCCAGAGTGGCTTTGCTTTTATTTTATTTATTTGGGGCAGGGGGGGCAGGGTACTGGGAATTGAACTTGGGTCCTTATGCTTGCAAGACAGGTGGCAGAACCACTGAGCGAAATCCCCAGACCTTATTTTATTTTTTAATGTGGTACTGGGGATTGAACCCAGGGCCTCTAAACTGAGCTAAATCTCCACCCTTTTTTTAATGTTATGTTTTGAGACAGGGTCTCATTATAAGTTGCCCAGGTTGGGATTACAGGTATGTAGCACCACACCTAGGTCAGATGCTTTTTTAAGGCTCTGAAGCGCTGTGGAGAATAGTGGTAGAATCTTGGTCTGTAGTGCTGAGATTCATCACTTCCTGCTTTGCTCCTAGAAGCGAGATGAGCGCAGTGTGAAGAGCACAGCTGTGCGGGTGGTAGATTTTGGCAGTGCTACCTTTGACCATGAGCATCATAGCACCATTGTTTCCACTCGCCACTACCGAGCACCGGAAGTCATCCTTGGTAAGAAAGGGCAGGCTGTCTGAGCATGTGAAGCAATGTGGTGAGCATCAGGCCTTCTAAGCCCTCAGGACCTGTTCCTTTCTACTCCGCCCCCAGAGTTGGGCTGGTCGCAGCCTTGTGACGTGTGGAGTATAGGGTGCATCATCTTTGAGTACTATGTTGGCTTCACTCTCTTCCAGGTAAGTGGGCAGGGGTCTTGGCCATCTGGCTTCTTCTGCCTGCTTTCCTTGGGTCTGCTGGGGACCTGCCTGCTCATTACCCTGCGTGCCCATCTGGCAGTTGATCCTCCACATCCCTTCTCATTTCCGTGCTCAGATTGGTCTCTGTTTCCCAGACTCATGACAACAGAGAGCATCTAGCCATGATGGAAAGGATCCTGGGTCCCATCCCTTCTCGGATGATTCGGAAGACAAGGTAAACCTTGAGTGGGAGGGACCTAACCCTTTTTCTTTGTCTCTGAAGAACTGGTGTTTCACATCATCTGTTTTCTTTGACATCTCCCCCAGTTAGTCTCTCATGTGGGGAAATAAGGGAAGAGTCTTTTAACTTTCTGATTCCTCAACCTCCCCTTCTCTAGAAAGCAGAAATATTTTTACCGGGGTCGCCTGGATTGGGATGAGAACACGTCAGCTGGGCGTTACGTTCGTGAGAACTGCAAACCACTTCGGGTGAGCCAGGCGGGGACAAATAGTTCCCAACACTCAGAGGTCACTTCCTGCTTACGGTGCTTTGCCCCTGGAAGGGGCTCCACAAGCAGGGGGCTAGGAACGGAGGGGAGGAAAACAGAAGAAAGACATCTTTGGTTAGTAAAAGCCAGATTCAAGGGAGTGGTTTGTGAAGCCAAGGAGGTTAAACAGCCTAACCTTGACAACCAGAGAGAGCAGAGATATGTCCTGGCTTCTTTAGGTTAGACAGAAAAGAATAAATTGCCATTTAAAGAACTTGCATTTTACTGAGGAGCTGTGGAAGATTCATGACATTAAGAAGGATAAACAAATAGAAAAACCTTTTGAAGGGTATGAAAGAGTAATTGTGCTAGTTGGAAGGTGGGCTGAGCTATATTATCAGAAATGTTGGGCTAGGTATGGTCGCGCAGACTTGTAATCTCTATTCTGGGAGGCTGAGGCTGGAGGACTGTAAGTCAGAGCCCAGCCTGGGTGATTTGGTTCCTTCATGAGAGCCTGTCTCAGAAAGGGCCGAGGATGTAGCTCAGGGCTGAAGACCTTGGATTCAGTCCTCAGTACCAGAAGAAGAAAAACATTGGTCGTGGTTTGGTTGTGGTAAACTAGCAATCAGAATGGTTACAAGTAGAGCCTTGAAGAGAAGGCAGGGTTCTAAGCATCCTCCCTCACCTCTCTCCTGCCCTCCACCAGCGGTATCTGACCTCAGAGGCAGAGGAACACCACCAGCTCTTCGATCTGATTGAAAGCATGCTAGAATATGAACCTGCTAAACGGCTGACCTTGGGTGAAGCCCTTCAGCATCCTTTCTTCGCTCGCCTTCGGGCTGAGCCACCCAGCACCAAGCTGTGGGACTCCAGTCGGGATATCAGTCGGTGACGATCAGGCCCTGGACCCCTCTGCAGCTCTTTCAGCAGTGGGTGTCCAGTTCAGGACACTGGTGCTTTTTTATACAAGAGAACAGAGCCCGAGCTTATGTCCTCTGGCTCTCTATACACCTGTGAATATGTGAAATAGTGTAAATATGACAGAACTTGTACCTATCACTTCAGCCCCTGCCTTGTACATAACGCTGTTCATCCACACTTCCGGCCCTTGCCTATCCCCCACGTGGAGTTGGATAGGGGCGGAGTGAGGTAACCAGGCGGCATCTACCCCATGTTTTATAAGGAATTTTGTACAGTCTTTGTGAAATAAATGACGTGCTTCATCTGACCTCCCCCTCCCACGGAGTTGTAGGTTTGGGGATACTGGAGTGGGAGGAGTGAGAGGATTGGCAGCCTCCCCGAGTTTGGGTATGAAGAGTCCATCTTACCGTCCAAAATTTTGGCTGTAGTCAAGCCCCCAGAGTATCTGCATTGTGAGCGGAGGGCAGCGAAGGTGGGAGAGCATTTGTTGCGGATTAAAATGGGGACAGGTTATAAAGTGGCAGTTCGCCGATATGGAGTAACGCGGGTTGGGCGGCGCCTGACTAGCCATTAGGTCGTGTGTGCCCCCCCGCTGTGTGCAGGATCAGAAACTCAAAACGTGCTGAACTTTGGAGTCCGCTGCGACTAAGCAGGAGCAAGAGGCTCCCAGCGTACCTTTCGGGAGACGGTGGCCGAGCCGTGGTGCGAGGCCTCCTGGGAATTGTAGTTCGTTGTTGGAAGTCACGTGGGGGACGGTCTTGTTTCGGGCGCTGAGTTAAAGGTGTCACGTGAGGAGCTTCCGTCTTTTCTCTTGGTCACGACGCGGGCTGTGCCTGCTGCTGCTACGGGGATCTTTAAAACCCTTCCGGTCGGTTCAGCCAATCCGTGCCTAGAGGAGCTGGGCGGACCGACAGGAGCGGAGAGAGCTGAGGTCCACCTCTGCCGCCACTGCCGCGGCAGGGGCGTGGAGGGCAGGGGCGTGGAGGGCAGGGGGCGGCGGAGACCGCGATTACGAACATGGCCCAGAACAGAGACGGCGGAAACCCGTTCTCCGAGTCCAGCGAGTTGGACAACCCCTTTCAGGTGACTTGCGCCGGCCTCCTTTGCCCAGTCGAGTTGATTCTTCCCGGTTCTGTAGGACCGGGGCAACTTGTGTTCCCACTCGTGACATTTGATCCGGGGAGGTGCGGCCACGTGGGGGTGACGGGGGCTCCAGACCAGTGAGTTCTGGGGGAGGACGGGCCCTGCCTGTAAGGAACTGGCGCTAACTGTAGGCTGACGAGCTTGAAGCAGATGTTGTTGGGACAACATCGTAGCTCCGAAGGCGCAGTGCTTGGAGCCCAAGGCAGTTTAGGAGAGGGCCTGAGGAGGCCCCCTGAAGTCACCGAGCGCCATCTGAGCCCAGATCTCTCTGCCTTAGGACCCAGCTGTGATCCAGCACCGGCCCAACCCGCAGTATGCCACTCTTGATGTCTACAACCCTTTTGAGACCCGGGAGGTGAGCTACTGGAGAACACAGGAAAGGAAGGGCAGAGTATGGCCCGTCGGTCTGGGGATGGGGGACTTGGCTGCATGCAGAGGATGGAAGAAGCCCTTGGTCTTAGCCCCCTGAGAGACACCAGTTGGCCTTAGGGTTCCTGATCCTTTGAGCTGTAAAAGGCAGTTTTGGAAGGATCTGGAGTCTGGTAGGCCCTGAACCAAGCTGCTACCTGGAAACACTCTTGAAGAACGTCTAAGGCTGGGGCTGGGCAGGGTTGAGAAAAATGTGGTTAGTTGTGCAGTTAGGAGGCAGGGATGAGGGGGACTAGACTGTTCGGCTGGATAGAAAATAGTGAGTTTGAGAAGTTAAGGGAGTGGATGTATAGATCAGTGCGTACTTTGAGTGCTTGGTAAAGGACTTAGTGTGACAGGTCTGCATGGATGTTGCAGGTCACGAAAGAGTTCAACGTACACTGACCACAAGCATTAGCTTCCTAACAAGTAGGGGAAGCTTTGCTGCCCTAGCTAATGAGTTTTGATTCTAAAGGTTTTGAACTGGGATCTGGATTTCTGTAACAAGAGACTAGATGATCTCTAAGGCCTTTTCCCCAGCAGCCGGCACCAGCTTATGAGCCTCCTGCTCCCGCCCCTGCGTCCTTGCCTCCACCCTCAGCACCCCCCCTACAGTCCTCACGGAAGCTCAGCCCCACAGAACCCAAGAACTACGGGTCCTACAGCACTCAGGTAAGGCATGGATGTGCAGGTGGCGACAGGGAGAGGGGTGAGGCCTGGGGCCTGGGCCTTCACCTCCCCTTCCCTGTGCTGCATAGGCAACAGCTGCTGCAGCCACAGCTGAGCTGCTGAAGAAGCAGGAGGAACTCAACCGGAAGGCAGAGGAGTTGGACCGAAGGGAGCGAGAGCTGCAGCATGTTGCCCTGGGGGGCACGGCCAGTAAGTGGGGCTCAGTAGGATGAGCAAGAGCATCTGGTGCTTTAGAAGGATCGAATGAAGGGTCTTAAGATCATGAGCTAACTTAATATTTCTGTCTCTGGTGCTGGGCATTGAACCCAGGGCGTCACATGAGTCAGGCAATGGCCCACCACTGAGCCATACCCCCAGCCTCCTGGGTACTTAATCTCTCTCTTTTTTTCCTTTGGTACGGGGGATGGAACTCAGGACCTTGTGCTTGTGAGGCAGGTGTGGTACTACTGAGCTAAATTCCTGGCTCTTGGGTACTTAATCTTAAGTGCCTCAATTTTCTTACGTTTAAAATGAGAAAGACATTTGTATCTGTTTGACACAGTTATTGTGAGGGTTAAAATTATGTATGAGAAATACTTGGCACAATGTTTAGATGTTGCAAATGCTGTAATAATAAACATTGGCTACTACGACTTTCTCACCTGTCCTTCTCTCTGGAGATCCAGGATTGAGAGGCCTTGAGGATGGAGGGAGGGGAAGTGAATCCTCTGGTCCCCGCTCAGTTCTGGGTTCTGCCTGTGCTCTGTGCCCTACAGCTCGACAGAACAATTGGCCCCCTCTACCTTCATTTTGCCCAGTCCAGCCCTGCTTTTTCCAAGATATCTCCATGGAGATCCCCCAGGAATTTCAGAAGACAGTATCCACCATGTACTACCTCTGGATGTGTGAGTAGTGAGGAGCCTTTTTGAAGAAATTTACAGGTAGAACTCTCAGTGCCCTGGCGTTCATTCACTGACAGCCAGACATTTCATTTTTCCTCAGCATTTGAGAATAAGGGTCATTTCTCCAGGACTCTTATACTGTGTTACTGTATTTATTATACTTAGAACTTATTTGAACCTGGTAACGAGTCTGCTAGGGGGTGTATGTTCTTTCTTCTTCGTTGTCTTTTGTGCCCATGTATAAACATCTGATATTCTTTCTTTCTTTTTTTGGTGGTTGGTGCTATGGTTTGAACCCAGGGGTCTGTGCATGCTAGGGAAGTGCTGTACCACGGAGCTATATCCCTAGATTTTTTTTTTTTTTTTTTTTTTTTAAGTTTTTAGTTTTTTGAGGCAAGATCTCACTGTGAAGTCCAGGCTGGACCTGAACTCACTAGCCCAGGCTGGCCTCAAACCCATGGCAATCCTCCTACCTCAGCCTTCTGAGTTCTGGAATTACAGGTGTGCACCACCACGCGCGGCACCTTTTCTTACATTGAGACAAAGTTTTGCTGAGTTGCCCAACCTGGCCTTGTGCTTGTCATCTTCCTGCCTCAGTCTCTCCAGTGGTTGGAAGTACAACCAGGCTGTCTGGTTGTACTCTGAGTTCTTTAAAAGTCTGGGCAAGAAGCCAGGTGTAGTGGTGCACATCTATAATATCAGCTTCTCAGGAGGCTGAAGCAGGAAGATTACAAATTCTGGGTCAGTTTGAGCAATTTAATGAGACATGGTCTCAAAAATAAAAAAAATCTAGGAATCGATCTCTAGCTCCACAAGCAAACAAAATAAATAAAGGTCTTTGCAATGGGATCAGTGGAAATGAGATTTGCATGTTGTTTGTTACTTCTTGAGCGGATTCCAGGAAGGCAGGAGCTGCCTTCCTTTCTTTGTAAGGACCCGTTTGTGGAGGACTGTGCAGGG